AGAGTTGTATGAGCCAATAAAATGATTTTAAAAATAAAGAAGTAGAAAATAAAGAGGGCTGTGCAGATTTACCCACTGCAATGCATCCTTTGACTTCTTGGCTGCAGCTTTCCTGAGCACCGACTGTAGAGCCAAATAAGACAAAATCTTGACAACTTCCATCTTTTCTCCATTTATCATGCTGCTGCTCATTGGTCCAATTGTGATTATCTTATTTTCTTTACATTGAGTTTTAAATCCATGCTGAAGACTGCAATCCTTGATCTTCCCTAACAAGTGCTTGAAGTCCTCTCTCTACCTTTCAGCAACCTAAGTTGTGTCATCTGCATATCGTAGCCATTAATAAGTCATCCTCCAATACTGATAACATTCTTCTTCATACAATCCAATTTCTCTTATTATTTGCTCAAGAACACACTGAACACACACACACACACACACACACACGGACATCAACAAGTTCAAGGAAACATGGTATTCAAAGACAGTCAAATTTTTCCAAGAAGTTCTTCAAGTCCCCCTCATATTTAACAAAAATAAGCTACTCAGAGTTTTAAGGAACTGCTTCGCAGTAGACCACAATGCAAATACACATATTTCCCTTTACATCTACCATCACTCCCTTTATACTTTTCCAGAAAGATTAGATGGACAATTGCTATAAGAACTGGACATCTACATACTTTGAATGAACTAAAAAAAATCAGGTGGTACATAAAGTTACATGGGAAGTGTTACAGAAGATCAAAGAGGCTTTATTAAATTTTTTTAAAAGAAATGTCAGCTTTGCAAAAAGAAAATTATCTCTTCAAGAAAGAAAACCACAACAGCAGTCCAAAATTATATAGTATCATGAGTTCAATAGTTACTTCATACTATTTCCAATGTTTAATGCGGGTTTGAAATTTAATATACAAATATTTGTGAAATCTCTTCTCTTTCTTAAGCAACATATCAAACAGCATCATATCTAAAGACATATACAGAGTATCTTCACCACTAACACTCTATGGAACGTTCAAACAGACATACTTCCCTGGGAGTTTATGACATTTTCTATAGAAATTGTTTGTATTTTGTGTGTATGTATGTGTTGTGCTAAATAAACCACTTTAGTTTGTTTATCAAGTAATTCTACCTATATTAACTATATTTTCTCTCCAGAATATAGAAGACCTAAAATTCTGACTAAGGGCACAATTACAATATCAAGGGTCTATCTACTTGGCATTCTGTGTACACAAACCTTTAAGTTGAAATCTGGATGTATGACTAAACCAGACACCTTTGTTTACAGCTGATGGGTGATTATGAGATACAAGATTAAACCTCTGAATAATTCATATGAATTATACAAAAGGGTGAGTCTATCTGTAACTATACCAGGAACATTACTTTTCTGCAATGTTTTAAGGGTCTGATCTATTTTCTTTCAGGTCCTATTTTGTGACTCAAACAAACAAACTTGCTGCCATCAATTCGATGCCAACTCCTAGTGATCTTAGTGTGACTAGGATCAAATTAATCAGCCTCTTTGAAGCTCACTCTCATAACGAGGGTTTCAAAACATCTATGGAAAAATTCTACTATTTATTAATTCAATTTTTCCACAAACTTTTTTAAGGACCCTCATATATATTAAAGGAGATAATAATAATAGAGCTAATACAAGAATTCAATATGTTCTACAGTCTTAACTCACATTAGTTGATATTTATACTTGGGGAAAAAATGTCCTCTAACAATAAACTCATCTCTAACAGCTATCGTTATGAAAAACTAAGTAAGAAATTATATCCATTCACAGTATAACACTGTAGCTATGGAACGAATGATTGGGCCTTAAATCAACTGAGACACACTCAGAACTGACACAGATGTTAGAATTAGCAAAAACACTCTAAAACAGCTATTACAACGGTACACCCTATGTTCTAAAGATTAGACTTGAAAGCTGTAAGAAAAACACAACTCGAACATCTAGAGAAGAAAATTATAGTATCTGATATGAAAATGGTATATGCAACATCACAGAATAAAAAAATGAATGAATGAATCCCAGAGAAAACCAAAAGTTAACAGTACTTCAAGCTATGTGACAACTTCCAACAGCCTAATCTATGTTGAAGTCCTAAAATTTTCCACATTTGATGAAAACTCTAAACCCACAGATCTAAACTCAATAAACCCAAGCAGGAACCATTGGAGGTAGGGGGTGGGGGACAACATCAAATATTATAATGAAATTTCTTAAAACCAGTGTTTTAGTTTCTTATGAACCTATAATGCAAGTAGCTCAAGTGAAGTGCTTTAAAGAACAGAAATTTATTTTCTCACACTTGTGTAGGTTCAAAGTACAAATCTGGATCTCAGTCATAATAATTCCTTCATTGCTGGTAGCTCCAGACACTCTTTGGTTCCTTGGCTCTCCTCACATGGCAAGTGTCTTCCTCAATATGCTGTACCTCTTTTTATATCTCATAGTGATTAGATTTAGAACCAACCCTCATTAGCATAGCAAAGAAGACTTATTGCCTGACAAGGTTACATCCTTAAGTACAGGGCTGAGGATTCAAATATATTTTGGAGGTACACAAATCAATCCGTAACACACTGAAAGAGAGAAAACCTTAAAAGCAGGTGAGGAATAAACAGAAACATTAGAAAGAAATAAAGGACAGTAGGTTTCTTGGAAACAATATAAACCATACAGTGGGAGAGATACTTGCAATGTTTATAGAACATATAAAGAACTCTCAAAACACACCAACGAGACAACCTAGCTGTACAAAGGGCAGGTGATCTGAACAGATCTCTCACCAAAGAGAGTATGTGGATGGCCCGTAACGTGATGCTCAACATCAAACTATAAATGAAAATTAAAACTATAATGAGACACCACTAACACCCCTTGAAATGTCCAAAATTCAAAAGACTGATCAACCCAAGTATTTACCAAGGATGAGAAGATACTGGATCCATCATACACTGCTGGTAAGAATGTAAAATGATGCAAGCATTTTACAAAACAAGTTTCCCAATTTGTTTCAGGGGTTTTTTTAAAGGCGTAAATATCTACCATATGATCCATTCATTTTATATGTATTTATCCGAAAGAAAAAACAGTACGCCAATTCAAAGACTTGTACACAAACGTTCATGCAATTTTATTGGTAATAGCCCCAAACTGAAAGGAATCCAAATGCCCAACAGCTGGCAGATAAACACATTGTGTCGTATACACACAACAAAATATTACTCAGCAATAAAAAGCAAATAATTATACATGTAACAATATACATGAACCTCAAAATTGTATTAGGTGAAAGATGACGAGAGTACATGGTGTATTATCTCTGTATAAAATTCCAGAAAATGTATGTAAACTTATCTAGTGACAAAAAATGAATCAGTCATTGCCTAGGGACAGAACAGCAGAGGAAGGGATGACAAAAGGGGTACAAAGAACCTTTTGAGGTGACAGATAAGTTCAGCATCATGGCAATGATTTAGCAACAGTATACATGTCATAATTTATCACACTGAACCCTTTAAGTATGTTCTTTATGCCAATTATACCTACTTTTTTTTAAATGGCTGGGGTAAAAAAAGGCAATCATACAAACATAAAGCGCTACCAATGAGGCAAATCAAAAGGGCGGCAAGGACTGATAAAGAAAATGTCCCTGTTACAATGGTAGCAGTAGCCAAAGCAAACCAGTTGTCATCTAATCAATTCCAACCTCTGTACACTGGAGTAGAATTGTGTTTCCGTGTTTTTAGCGGATTTCCTGGGAATAAATCACCAGGTATTTCTTCTGAGATGCCACTGTACATTCAAACCACCAATCATTATAAAATGTGCAGCTTATTTAGTAATATAAATATATTAAGATCATAGTAGCCTTTAGTTTTCAGGAATACCTAAGTATTTTCAGATATTTCATGGCTACCTTATCACTTGATGTTTATTCATCTCTGTAGTGCTAGCAATATGCATGGACTGTATTCTTATTAAGAAATGTTCTACAAAAGGAAAATCTTAAAGAAAACATATAAAATGAAAAATATATGAGAAATGGTTATCTTTAAAATATATCTTACACATATTAAATGCATATGAAAAAGAAATACAACTTACCCTGATACAACTGAAACAACAAAGCTTGGAACAATGAGGACACAGGCGTGCATCCCTCAACTTCTCCATACAAATGAAACATCGGAAAACCTCAGCAATGCTCTGACAATAAAAGATGTAAGGTCCATTAGGAAGATATGTCAGTAAAACCACTACTCAAAAAAAAAAGAAAGATGTAAGGTCCCCACCTGATTAGGCTACTGAATCACAATTAAAAGGCACACTTAAAATGTTGCCTTTGAGGGATAAAGGTCACAATAGTTCTATTCTAATGCAAAGACATGGAATGCAAGGGTGTTTTTATGCATAGAAAATTTCACTGAAACATTAACTATAATGGCAAAAATCTGGCCATGGTCCATGTCCAAACATTAATGATTAAGTAAACTATGGAAATTAGGCATGCACTATGAAGGTTTCTGTATTTCTTGAATTATTTAGTTATATCCAAAAATGCCTGAAAAGTGGTCTATATGATTGAATGCACAATGTAAACATTTTCTGGAACTTATCAAAAGATATAAATTACTTTCATGATGTAAAAAGAAACAGCTTACTGGCAGTGTACACTTCCAAAAATATACCAATTCAGAATTGAGAAATATGAATTTTTGCCTGATGCTGCAACCAACTAGCTACTTATTTGATCCTGAGATTCTAACCCTATTGAGAATTTTGGTGGAAGACAAAATAATATGGACTGAAAAAAGTTTTATCTTCTCAGATGAATTAATACAGGAAATAACCTGACAAATTATAAGACCAAATGCCAGAAATGCACTGTAATTATATTTTGGTTTTGTCCCTTGGGGGACACCTATGTTTACTCCATGTCAGGGAAATTAAACTGTTATAAAAGCAAGGTAAGTTAGTTTACAAACCCTTTATAATACTTTCATTGGAGAAATTAACAAGAAAATGACTCACGAATCTAATCATGACCTCTGCAAAGCCTGAAAAAACCTGCGAGATGCTGATGCTGTAATTGGCTGCGGGTGGACAATGAGACCGTCGGGCCAAACAGGCTCAAGCGGCACAGCTGCCCTTACCAATAAGGCAGGGTTTCGTATTTTAGTGTTCGGAAGATTAAAACAGAGTAATGTCTACGTGATTTTTGCCCAATTATTATTATTTTTGCTTTTTAGCCTTTTTCATATATCCGAACCAATTAAACCAGAGCTTAAATTGAAGAAGCAAATATAAACATAAGTTTGTTCTAGAAACTAGAGTCAAAAGGGATAGGGCGAATTCATGATCTCATTCAGTCAAGAGCAGAGGACCTGCAAATTGGTGGTTAAGCCTTCGGAGGAGGATTTGGATCGAGGTTTCAACTAGGACAAGCAAGCAAGAACCGGTGACGCGGCTAATGATTTTGCAATTTCGGTCTGCACGGGCGGTCGCTGGCCAGGACCCTGCAGGGCTGAGCATCTGTGCCAAGGCATCCTTGAAACGCCAGGATACGCGCCACCTGACTGCCGAGGACCTGAGCTGCAGGCTCCCTCACGGCTGCGCACCGGGCCAGCCCTCCCTACGGCGGCAGCGGCGGGCTTACCCCGAGGGAGGTCGAAGGACAAGACACGCGGGGGGACAGACCGCTCAACGGATGGCAAGGGAAGCCTCGGCCCCCGCCCGCCTCACACCCCCTCACCTCCACGCTCTGTTCATCCATTGCCTCCGGCTCTCGGCGGGGCCCGCGACGCCCCGCGGAGTCCGTGGTCCGACCGAGTAGGAAGCGGCCCGAGGCCGCCAGCTCAAACGAGCCGCGGAGAAAAGCCCGGCGCCCACCTCAGGAGGCCTCGAAGACCGTCCCACCTGTGCGCCCCATCGCTCCGGGTTGGGCGCCGGCTACCCCCACTTCGCCATCTTTATCCGCGCGCCTGCCCAGGAGCGCAAGCGGGGAGCGAGCGGGGGCCACAGCGCCTTCCTCCCGACTCAGTCGCCCGCCAAGGGCGGTCAGGGGCCTCGGCACACGTGACGCGGGCGGGCGGGCGGGTGCGCGCGTGTCGAGCCGCGGCTGGGGCTCGGCGGCGCTGCCCTCCCTCGGGCGTAGAAATCGCGGCCGGGAACTCGCCAGCACCAACGGTAACCAGGGCAGCTGCGGGCGCGGCCGAGCCGGGAGGCGCGTCGCGCATGCGCGCCAGCCGCTCCGGGCGGGGCCTGGGAGAGGCGCGCGCTCAGTTCCCGCGGTTCGGGGCGCTCACGAGACTTGGCCGCTCGCGGCCGCAGGCTTCCGTACCTGCGGCCAGTGCTGGGCGCGGGCACCCGGCTGTCGGGGTTTGTTGCGTGCCACCCGCCAGGGGAGGGGCGGGGCTCCATGGAGCTCCAACTTGTACGCGCTAAAGACGGGAGCCACCTTGAGTGCGTAATAAAAGCGCGGACTCCGGGACCTGATCCTGATGCTAGAGTTGGAGACCCAGAAAATCTGAATTTTCCCCTCGAAGCTTTGGCCGCGGGTGTTCTGTGGGTGCATTTCTAGAAACCCTGGGCAGAGGACTTGCACTAATGGTCTTCGTCCTCTGGCAGGAAGCCCTGGTTTCTAAGGTTTGTTTGTTTCTTAATCATTTTATTGGGGCCTCATACAACTAACTCATCACAATCCATACATGCATCAATTGTGCCGAGCACATTTCTACCTTCGCTCCCTCATCATTCTTAAAACAATTGCTCTCCACCTAAGCCCCTGGCATCAGCTCATTTTTTCCCCTCCCTCCCCGATCTCCCCTCCCTCATCAACCCGTGATAATTTATCAATTATTTCGTCATATCTTACACTGCCCGACGTCTCCCTTCACCCACTTTTCTGTTGTCCGTCCCCCAGGGAGGAGGTTTTATGTAGATCCTTGTATCAGTTCCCCCTTTCCACCCCACCCTATCTCCACCCTCCCAGTATGGTCACTCACCACTGGTCCTGAAGGGATCATCCGCCCTGGATTCCCTGTTTCCAATTCCTATCTGTACCAGTGCAGTTTCTAAGGTTTTAATTAAGCTTTCTGCCCCACCCACTCGGAACCCTGGTGGCGCAGTGGTGTGTGTGCTTGGCAGTGGTTTCAAGCTACGAGCCGTTCTTTAGGGGGAAATGTAGCAATCTACTGTGTAATACACCCTTGAAACCCAAGGGGCGATTATACTTGGGATCAAGGGAATGGGCCGGGCTCCCCCTTGTACAGAAAAGGAGTTGGAAAGCTCTTGAAGCTTCCTTAACAAAAGCTCACTACCATGGACTCCTACCCACATGCAACCCCAATTGAGCTGTCGCTATGGGGACTACGGAAAATGTACAAAGTACCTGCTTTCTACAAATTTCCGGTAGAATTGTATGAGCCCCTAATAAAATGATTATTTAAAAAATAAATAAATAAATGTATAAAACAAAAAACAATGAGGAGCTGATACCAAGGACTCAAGTAGAAAGCAGGTGTTTTGAGAATGATGATGGCAACATATGTACGAATGTGCTGGACATAAATGATGTATGTACGATTGTGAAAAGAGTTGTATGAGTCCCTAATAAAATGATTAAAAAAAAAAAAAGAAAGAAAAAAAATTCCAGGTAGAAGATCTGTTTGAAAATGTAAGGTGTGAGGCACGGGCATAAATTGACTTAATTTTAAGGTAGTTTTCCCTTTTTTCTTAATTTATAAAATATGTATCATTATTTGTATTTCTTCCTCTGTAAATTTTTTAAATCTTTTATTGGCAGCTCTTACAGTTCTTATCACAATCCATACACACACCCATTGTGTCAAGCACATTTGTACATATATTGCCATCATTTTCAAAACATTTTCTACTTGAGCCCTCGGTATCAGCTCATTTTCCCCCCTCACCCACACTCTCTCCCTAATGAATCCTTGGTAACTTTTAAATTATTTTTTTCATATCTTAAACATTGTCTCCCTTCACCCACTTTTCTGTTGTCCATCCCCTTGGGACAGAGTTATACGTCAATCATTGTGATTGATTCCTCTTTTCTCCCCCCCCCCCCTTACCCTTGCCCCCCTGGTATCACTACTCTCATTATTGGTCCTGAAGGGCTTAGAATCCGTTTCCAGCTCTTACCTGTAGCAGTGTACATGCTCTGGTCTAGCTAGATTTGTAAGGTAGAATTGAGGTCGTGATAGTTAATTTTCCCTTCTTGATTTGTTGCAAACATCTACTTTTTTCACTTAGCCTAACCTAGAGAGGAAAAAATGATCTAGAAAGAAGTCATTGAATGCCAGTGCAAGACAATGAATTATTTGATGTGCCTCTTCTAGCCATAGTCTGTAACTCCCACTAGAAGACCTTTTCCTGGTGGGCATAGGTAAGAGAAAGTGGGGGAAATGATTCAGTTGTTGAGTGCCATCTTGCTTGGTATAAAATAAGTCATCTCAAAAGCAGGAGTGAGCAATCTCATTGCCCGTAAGAGCAAGGCTAGAGCGTGGAATCAGGACCCCAAGAGTCCTGTACACTTGGTCTGGGAAGGCAGCTCCAATCAGTGACAGAGCACCAGCAAGAACCAGGAGCCAGAGAATGAAGTAGTGGTGGACTTCCCAACCCACAGAGCAAGTAAAGCTGAGTGCTTTGAGGCAGGACTTTGACTTGTGAGGGCAGCATATGTTAGGTAGTCTAGCGTAGGGGCTGGGACGTCCATTACGCATGCCCAGAGGTGCGAGCTTAGGAAACAAAGGAGTAGCACACTGCACAAGCTCAGAGTTTCAGGTTTCCCTCCAAGTACACCTGGCTGGGTGTTGCACCTGGATTGGCCCACCTAAGCCAGGTGAATACAATTCAGGCCAATGGAGTCGACCAGGGCCGGCCACCACGCCTCCCCGCGGAATAATTGAAAAGGCAGGAGCCCTGGGTCAACTGCGTGACTTTGCGAGTAGTTTCCAGGCAGGCTGCACGTTTGAGAGGAGCCCTGTGGGTGCCTGTGTAAACCTGAAACTTCTCTCATAAAACTCACTTGGATCACAAACCAGGCTTCGACGTGAATTCTTTCTCGAGCCGAGCCAAGGGCGAAGGTATGTCTCTCCCCTTGAGAGATCTAACACATCCACTTAATGCTGAGAGCTGGGCTTCCTGACCCATCGAGCTGGAGCTAAGCACCCACCAATTGAGGCTTAGTGGAGTGGGCTGGAGTGTTGCTGTGTTGAAGCTTACAGAGGAGTGCCTATGGCACTTATTCCAAACCAGAAAGCCAAACTCTTTGACATCAACATCAACTCATTGCTGACTCATAGTCACACCCTCTGTGGAGTTTCCAAGACCGAAATTGAAAGCCCAGTCTTTGTCCCTAGGAGGTACGGTGGTTTTGAACTGCTGGCCATGACGATTTCAGCCCAATGCACCGCCACACCACCAAGGCTCCTGGGCATTATTAGTCCAAAAAGAATTTTATCACAGCCATGATTAAATAAATCTATCATTTCTCACCTAAATTGCAATGTTAATTTCCAAAATAAACCCCATAATGGGTTTTGTATGTCCATTGATAGTGCTGTGGGAGACAGAGCAACCAGCATTATAAGTAATAAGCACCAACGATTTTTTATTAACCCAGTGAGCAATAGACAAAGATGAACATTTTCCACTGAATTATTTACGATCCTGTATCTGGCTAAGAGGTGGTGGATGCACACCCTTGTGAGTGTACTGTATGCCACTGAATTACACATTTAAAAGAGGGCGACTGACAGAACAAGTGGAGGTAAGTGTTTCAGAGTTCCTTTCCTTCTTAGGGGCTTATAGTCACCTACGTGTAACTGAATGAAACTCACAAAACCTCTACTTCACAAAGCATCATGTCTTTATCCAGGAATTGATCCCTTCTGGAGACATCTCCAAAGTGAGTAAAAAGTCTGAACGTCTGGTCACCCTCACTTCTAAAGTACATTCTGGTGGTTCTTTTTCCAAGTCAGATTTGTCAATATTCTTTACCAGCACAATTCAAATGCATCGATTCTTTGGTCTTTTTCAAGGGTCATCTTTTGCATGCTTACAAGGCGATTGAAATACTTTGCATAATAAAAGGTTAAATTAACAGTAAATTAAATTTAACATTTAACCAAGAAAACTTAACACTTCACAAGGGTTGAATTTAACATCAAAAGGTTAAACTGATTTTAAAAAAAGGTTAAACTGGCACAAGTTATGCGATATATCTACAGCCCAAAAAAAGAGTGGCTGCTTAAAGTGCAACCAAACATTTCATGGGATTTGGCTCCTTGGTTTGTAGATTCTGTTTCATGGGTTATATCAGTTAACATAACTACTGCTTCTGTTCAATCTCCAAAGGAGCTTGTGGTGAAATGGGTTACATGTTGGGCTGCTAGTCACCAGGTCAGCAGTTTGAAACCACTAACCACTTCCAGGGAAAAAAATGAGGCTTTCTATTCCCATATTTACAATATCAGAAACTCAAAGGGGCAGTTTTACCCTATCCTATAGGGTCACCAGGAGTCAGAATTGACGCAATGGCAGTGAGTTTCTGAGTGTATTATATCCCTGAATTCAGTGCAGTGCCTGGAAGTCTTAAAAGCCTGCCATCCAAGACACAAATATCAGGCTCTATCTACCTGGAGCAACAGGTATAGAAGAATATGGAGTATGTGGCTAATTGCCTTCATGAACAACTGCCTACTTTGCCATGAAGCCAGTAGAACTGGATGATGCCCAGCTACAATTGCTGAATATTTTGATCAAAGAGAACACAGAAGGAATCCAATCAACAGGGAACATACAGAAGGGAATTACAAATTCTCATGGAGGCCAGACTTTCTGGAGCCATGGAGGCTAAATGAATCCTCAATTGCCGAGATCATATTTAAACCTTAAAAAGTATCCTCAGACATCATCTTAAAACTGAACAATAATTTAGTTAGTAAAAAAAAGGTTTGGTTTGAGCATTATGCTGCTTTAAGAACTCATTGCCAATGGACCCTTAAGGGCTAGTGAGTTTATAATGGGAGGAACAACCCAAAAAAAGTTAGTGAGATTGAATGGTTGAATTGTGTGATATGTGGATTATACCCCAATAAAACTGTTAAAATGACATCTTTGTTAATACTTAAAAAAAATCATTTTATTGGGGGCTCATACAACTCATCACAATCCTTACATACATCCATTGTGTCAAGCACATTTGTACATTTGTTGCCGTCATCATTCTCAAAACATTTGCTTTCTACTTGAGCCCTTGTTATCAGCTCATTTTTCCCCTCCCTCCCCACACTCCTCTCCCTCATTAACCTTGATAATTTATAAACTATTACTATCTTACACAGTCCGACGTCTCCCTTCACCCACCTTTGTAATACTTTTAAGAAGTCTTGCAGCATATTTTCCCAGGATAATGTCATTTGATCTCTTCACTGTGCTTCCATGGCCATTGACTGTTGATCTGAGATGTGTTAGTCTGGGTAGACTACAGAAAGAAATCCATAGAAATGTATAGAGGTTTATATACAAGAGCAATTGAACATTGAGAAAATAGCCCAGCCCAGTACAAAACAAGTCCATAAGTCCCATATTAGCCCATATGTTCGATAACAATCTATAAAGTCTTCAGACCCATGAAACACATGCAATGATGCCAAATGCAGGAAGACCACAGGCCAGTGGGTAGGAAGTCTCATGGACCCAGTGGCATTGTAAGCATCTGAGCACTGGCAGGGGTCTCTATGTGGCTTTTCTAGCTCCAGAGGCCTGGTTGCATCAGGGTAAGTCCATGTGGCTTCTCCAGCTCCTAGGGCATAGCACCATGTGTCTTTTCAGTAGAACGTTGTCTCAGAGAGTGAGCCGAGTGTGTCTCCCGCCTCCAAGGAGGAAATACAGGAATTCCCATAATCCTTAGGGGAAGGCCATTCCCACAGAGGCCTCCTAATTGACAGCCTAGACTCTACCCCTACACTCGATCCTCAAATTGGGACCAGATTATGTAACTCCAACAGAGAATATTTAAATCTTTGACAACTTCAGTTTCTCACCATTTATCGTTATCTACCTTATTATTGGCTTTCATATATTAAGAACAATTATTAACAGGATGGAGAACAAAAAAGGTAGTACTGAAAAACAACATGGATATTCTGAAGCACCATTTGGAAACGGTGCTGCTCAACATTAGCAGGCAGAAGGAATAGAAAAGAAAAAGTGAGTGTCACACAGAAGCCAACTTAGATTTTGCAGAACAGAAATCACATATTCAGTCTTAGTAGTTGTGGTAATAATTTCTTTTGTAAGAATTAATACCAAACTAGTACTAAGTGCTTGAGATTGAATAAGTCCAACTCCTGGAAGATGCCAATCAGTTCTATTTCCCCCTACTTCTCCCTTGTGTATTCCCTCAAATTTCTAGGTTCTAAGAATTGTTCTAAGAATTGTTGCCATGGCCCACAGAAACTCATAAAGGTTTGAGGAAATGTCTCACGTGGTGGTGGGTACTGTTCAGTTAGGGGGTCAGGCAGGGGTAAACCAGATGGTGGGGCTAGAGGACTCACTCCACTCCTGACTCTTGGAAGTGATAAGCTCACACCCCTGATTCTCAGTGGGCTCATTTGATAAGCAGCAGGATGGCATTGCAGAGAATCCTATTCAGGTACTCACACGCGAATCCTCTCCATATCTTCCTCTACCTTCTTACCAGACCCATGCAGGTCATTTGGTAGGAGTTACAATATATGATGCAATCAAATTTCACCCAAATATAATAATCTATTCTCCACCCCTTGCGTGCATCTTATTTATGCACATGACCTTGGGCTTTGAGCAGGAAGGTTTTCAGTAGGCGTTGGCCTCATACTGATCTTAATCAGCCAGGTTTTTCCCCAGGCCACTCCAGAAGCAGTTTTTTCCCCCTACTCCATTTAGACATAGCATATAATTCCTTACTTCCATTATACAGATAA